CATCTATCTATCTATCTATCTATCTATCTATCTATCTATCTATCTATCTCTATCTATCTATCTATCTATCTATCTATCTATCTATCTATCTATCTATCTATCTATCTATCTATCTATCTATCTATCTATCTATCTATCTATCTATCTATCTATCTATCTATCTATCTATCTATCTATCTATCTATCTATCTATCTATCTCTATATCTATCTATCTATCTATCTATCTATCTATCATCTATCTATCTCTCTATCTATCTATCTATCTATCTATCTATCTATCTATCTATCTATCATCTATCTATCTATCTATCTATCTATCTTTTTTTTTTTTTTTGGACGTAGTGATAGTAACCTATCATCTAGTGGCCCCACGACATCTCCAATCCACCCCGGCACCGCGTCAGCATTTCATCAGGGTGGGTGGTTTAAGTTTATTTTCTTCTTTAGTTTTTTTTCTTTTTCATTCCTACATCCTCCTATTGTGGGAGGTTCGGAACTCTCAAGCATCTTTTCTTGATAACTGCATTAATATAGTTTTCACAATGATTCCACTCTTGCTTCGATTTCAGCATAATTCTTATTATATTATCTGCTGAAATCATCTCACATAACTTAGAGCTTAATGCCCTTCTTTCATTTATCCACTTTGGGCATTCAAATAGTACGTGTTTTGACGTTTCTTCATATGCTCCACATGCCTCACAACTGGCACTGCTTCTCAAATTAAACCTGTATAAATACTGGTTGAAGGCTCCATGGTTTGTCAAGAATTGGGTCATGTAATAACTAACATTTCCATGAGATCTTTCGATCCATTCTTTGATGTTTGGTATCAGATTGGAGGTATATCTTCCCGTTGTCTCATGTGACCATCTTTGTGCTGCCACATATTCAGCATTCGTGTTCTAGCGTTATTTTTTATCTCCACTTCTCGTTTTCGTTTTTCTGCTTGGTTCATATCGCTGGATTGAATTATGTTTAACTCCTTGTATATTTCATCTTTTTCTATTATTTGAAGGTCGATAGGTAAGAGCCCAGCAATCACCAGAGCTGCTGATGTTGGTACTGTGCGATATGCCGAAATAATTCTTAGCGCGCTGAATTCTTTGTGGTTTTTGTAGCTCTCTTACTCTACAGTTTTTGTCCATCACTGTTGCAAATGTTGGGGCTGCATACAGAATTTGTGAATGGACGACACTATTTATTAGTTTTCTTGTGTATTGGCTTTGGGCCACCACGGTTTGGCATATTCTGGCCAGTGATGCTGCGGTTTTTATAGTTTTGTCTCTAACATTAGTGATGTGTTGTTTAAAGCATAACTTGTCATCTAACTGTATACCAAGGTAACATAGGTTACGTTTAAAAAACTATATCATTTTCCTGCAGCCTGATCCTCGGGGTAACGAAACTCCTCCTTACTGTAACAAGTATAGCTTCTGTCTTGTTGCTGCTAACTGTAGTCCGGCTTTTGTCAACCACGTATTACACCCGGTTTAGACTATCATTCGTGACTATTTCTATGAGTTCAGCCGTAGGCTGTGATTACGACCAATGCAATATCATCTGCATATCCTATAAGTTTGGCGCCATTTTGGTAATTCATATTTAACAGGCCGTCATACATGGCATTCCACAAGAAAGGGCCCAGTACTGACCCCTGTGGAACACCGGCTGTTATTTGGTAGGTTTTTGTCCATCATCTGTATCATACAGTAGGATTCTGTTATCCAAGTAGTCCGCTATAATTGTGTGCATATAATCATGCACCCCTTTGTGTTTGGAGAGCTTCTAATATCACTCTCCATTTGGCCGTGTTAAAGGCATTTTTAACATCTAAGGTTATTATAGCACAGAAACCTTTTGCGAATTTAGATTCCATCGCTGTTTTTACAACGTCATTAATGGCATCAACAGTACATCTTCCCTTTCTGAAGCCATACTGATTACGTGATAAGCCGCCAAGTTCATCTATACGTTTTGTAAGTCTGTTGAGTATTAAGCTCTCAAATAGTTTTCCTAGTGAATCAAGCATGCATAAAGGTCTGTATGAGCTTGGTTCGTTTAATGCTTTGTCTCCTTTTCGCAGGAGAACAAGTTTCTGTATTTTCCACTTCGCGGGGAATTTTCCTGTTGCTAGGCATAAGTTAACGTGCGTAGTAACAAATCAGGCCAGGTTTCGCTTACTAATTTTAAAACTATATTTGGAATGCCATCTGGCCCGGGACATTTCCCAACTTTTAGCTTTTTTGCTGCTATTTTTAGTTCCTCTTCACTTAGAGGGTAGAAACCATTTGGTTGTTGTAATGCTTCTTCTCTACTCTTCTTGTCTTTGTCAAGTGGGAAGAGTGTTTCGACTATTTTATTTGCCCACTCTGGTTCTTTGATTCCAGGTATAGGTTTTATGACACCTAGTGTTTTTCTGACTATCTGATAGGGTTTACCCCAGGGATCTGAATCAATTTCATTACAGAGTTCTAGCCAGCATCTTCTTTTGCTCTTTTTAATGGCTTTTCTCAACACTTTACGACATCTTCTGTATTCTAATTTAAGAGTGAGATCGTCATGGTTTCTCGTAGTTTCTCTGCGTGCTATTAAACACCTTCTCCTTAGCTCTCGCACTTCATCGTTCCACCAGTACACGGATGGTTTGCTTCGGTATGGTTGGACTCTCGTCATTCCTACATTACAAGCCTTGTTATTATATCAGTCAGTGATTTTACGGCACACTGAACATTGTCTTCTATTGGGGTTCTTAAATTTCTCGCTTTTATTCTAAGTATAGTCAACTAATTTATCCTCTTTAAGTTTCCTAACATTCCACTTAGGAAGACTTATATCGTTTTGTGCTAAAGCAGAATTATCGTCAATGCAAAATGTAATGTATTGGTGGTTACTTAGTGTAAAATCTTCAAGTACCATCCAATTCATGTTGTCATTATAAAAATTGGTTGTTCCAAATGTAATGTCAATTATACTTCCTCCCGGAGGTCTCCTAAAAGTATATTTTTGACCTTCGTTGAATACAGTAAGACCGAGACTGCCAATCATCTCGCTCACTGTTGCACCCCTATTGTCTAGTATATTACAGTTCCATTCAGGGGATTTACTATTGAAATCTCCTCCAATCAGAACCTTACATCTCGCTCCTCGAATAGATTCCTCTAAGTTGATTATAGCTGCAGCAAATTCTTCGTGACATGTATTAGGCGAAAAATAACAACTGTAGATCCTCACATTATCGACTGTTGCATATACAAATCCAATGTTGCTTTCGTCAATTTCTTTAACATTTACATTTTTGTTTCTTATTATTATAGCTGCACGGTGGCTGATATCTTCGTACCAATTGAGAGATGATATTTTACCATATGGTTCGCTAACTAACACTATATCTATATCGTCTTCTGCTGCCTTCTGCATCATAAGATCTTGTGCTTCTCTTCCTCGACCAAGGTTTATCTGAAGAAACTTTCTAGTCATTTCGTTGGTTTTCTCTTCTATTGTTTATGCAGAACATACTGCCTATGTAGTGTTTTGTATTCTTTAAACCCTCTTCTTGGCATATGATGCACCTCATTTCTTCTTTACAGTCTTTAAATTTGTGACCGGAATTGCAGCATTTTCTGCAGATATTTGTTCTATCTACACCATTGCAAGACTTTGCCATATGACCTTGATCTAGGCATTTGAAGCATTGTATAGCTTTATCCAATTTTTCTCACTCTGCACATCACCCATCCTATTCGAATTTTGTTGTTTCTTAAAAGGATAGCGGCAGCATCCTCCTGGATTTGAACCAAGGCTTGCTTGGTCTTTCCGAAGGATTCTCTAACATTGAGGATTTTAATATCAGTGAGCACCATGTCTGTCACAGTTTTGAGTGCACTTATAATATCCTCCTGCTCTGTTGATTCGTCCATGTCTCTTATGTCGACTATGCAGTTCTTTTTAACCGTTTTAATTGTGACATTGTTTCCCAATGTGTTTCCAATAGCACGCGTTAATTTTTCTGCCTGTCCCTCGCCTTTGTTGAATTTAATTAGGATATCGCCATTTATTGTTCTTCTCATTGTTTTTATATCTACACCGATTTTACTGGGGTCAATATTCTTCTTCATTTCTTTCAGCACATCAGCGTAAGTAGCATCAGTATTTGCCTTTATTGTCAATGCTTCTCCTTGGTCAAACCTTATCTTCGTTTTGGTTTTTTCTTTCTTCCTTTTCTCCTTCCGATGCTTCACAGTTTTCCAGCCGTTTTCTTCACTGTTTTTGTAGGCCTTTTCTTTCTCGTTTTTATAAGCTTCTTCTTTCTCGACAACTTGAGGTTGTGTTGATCTCGGAGTCTCCATAGCTATACGTTTTTTAGGCTGCTTTTCGCTATCAGGTGATTTTGACATCGATCCCCTGTTCCTTTTTCCTTCTTGGCGTAAAAAAAAAAAAAAAAAAAAAAAAAGGAACAGGGGATCGATGTCAAAATCACCTGATAGCGAAAGCAGCCTAAAAAACGTATAGCTATCTATCTAGCTATCTATCTATCTATCTATCTATCTATCTATCTATCTATCTATCTATCTATCTATCTATCTATCTATCTATCTATCTATCTATCTATCTATATATCTATCTATCTATCTATCTATCTATCTATCTATCTATCTATCTATCTATCTATCTATCTATCTATCTATCTATATATCTGTCTATCTATCTATCTATCTATCTATCTATCTATCTATCTATCTATCTATCTATCTATCTATCTATCTATCTATCTATCTATCTATCTATCTATCTATCTATCTATCTATCTATCTATCTATCTATCTATCTATCTATCTATCTATCTACTATCTATCTATCTATCTATCTATCTATCTATCTATCTATCTATCTATCTATCTATCTATCTATCTATCTATCTATCAATCTATCTATCTATCTATCTATCTATCTATCTATCTATCTATCTATCTATCTATCTATCTATCTATCTATCTATAGATAAATAGTATGTATGTTTATTTAATTAGCTCGTAAATACTATTAATAACGTTACCAAAAGTTCGTTTAAACCTCTTCACAATCTTCCATGATTCATCTGATTTCTATTTTCACTATCTTACCTCATCTATGATTGACCCAAAAAATCTTTATTCTCATTTCTCTATCACTTACACTTTCGTAATATCCAAACAACATAAATTCCCTAATAATGCCATGTAATCCTCAAATTAAGCTTAAAAAAGATAATTCCGAAAACTTTATTAAAACTTCTATAAAATATTTGAATAAGTATCTAACACACAACTGTCATACAACACACTCAATTACAATTTGAAAACTCTTAATGACAAAAGGTGACACACATAAATCATTGAAATGGATTATGACAGTGACACTGACAGCAAACATTACACGATTGCTAACGATTGTGTTCCGCTTGTTATATGGCGGGAAATCTAACGAATGAAGCTCTTAACAATTTCCTAATGGGCGATTAATGACGAAGACACAAATAAAAAAAAAACAAACAATTGAGAATTAATACTTCATGCTTCATACCTTCGGCAAATTATCACACAAACAAATGTCAAATAGAAATATAATTGAAACGATTTGGTTTTATTATATTTAAATGTGAATTGTTGAAAAAAGACCCTAAAATAGATAATCTGATGCACACAATTGATAAAGAGGGAGCTATGTAGCTATAGAGGGACGAATTTATTTATCAGGCTTACAAAAATAACACGTACATATAAAGAGCCCTTAGTATTTGAAAATATTTATAAAGATGGGATACAATTCATAAAACCAACCTTATAATAGTGTTAACCTTTATTCAACATCTTTGTGTTTTTTGTTTAAATAAACAGATGTGTCTGACTGTTAGTGTGGTTTTAATGTCTGCCAAAGACACTTTTTTATTTCACAAACCTAGCAATGGCAACATTTCGTAATTTGGTACCCGGGCTAAAAATGTAATTTCTGTGTGTTGCATAAGATTATCCAGACCCTTTTTACAACTGGCAAATGCTCACACTAATTATTGTTATTATTTATTTTCAGCTTTATTTTGTTAAATAAGTACTTAATAAAAGTAACAAACGTAAAAAATGTCGTCGGCTGGTTGATTGGTTGACTGAGCTCATTAAATGCTTGAATGACTGAATTGTGATGATAATTTTAAGGATATTTTACGCATATATGAACTTTAACATGGATTTATGTGACCGTCCAAAGACAACTCAGAAACAAAACAAGCATAATTTTTAACATACATACTGAGTAACGGAGAGAATTTGAAATCGTACTGTTCCATCCCAGATGGAAATATAATATAAAAATCTAAAAAATTATAATTTTCCCCGATATTCGTTTGTCAGCTAATGTCTAGACTATAGACTAGACTATAGACTAGACTATAGACTAGACTATAGACTAGACTATAGACTAGACTATAGACTAGACTATAGACTAGACTATAGACTAGACTATAGACTAGACTATAGACTAGACTATAGACTAGACTATAGACTAGACTATAGACTAGACTATAGACTAGACTATAGACTAGACTATAGAGACTATAGACTAGACTATAGACTAGACTATAGACTAGACTATAGACTAGACTATAGACTAGCCTATAGACTAGACTATAGACTAGACTATAGACAAGACTATAGACTAGACTATAGACTAGACTATAGACTAGACTATAGACTAGACTATAGACTAGACTATAGACTAGACTATAGACAAGACTATAGACAAGACTATAGACTAGACTATAGACTAGACTATAGACTAGACTATAGACTAGACTATAGACTAGACTATAGACTAGACTATAGACTAGACTATAGACTAGACTATAGACTAGACTATAGACTAGACTATAGACTAGACTATAGACTAGACTATAGACTAGACTATAGACTAGACTATAGACTAGACTATAGACTAGACTATAGACTAGACTATAGACTAGACTATAGACAAGACTATAACTAGACTATAGACTAGACTATAGACTAGACTATAGACTAGACTATAGACTAGACTATAGACTAGACTATAGACTAGACTATAGACTAGACTATAGACTAGACTATAGACTAGACTATAGACTAGACTATAGACTAGACTATAGACTAGACATAGACTAGACTATAGACTAGACTATAGACTAGACTATAGACTAGACTATAGACTAGACTATAGACTAGACTATAGACTAGACTATAGACTAGACTATAGACTAGACTATAGACTAGAGTATAGACTAGAGTATAGACTAGAGTATAGACTAGAGTATAGACTAGAGTATAGACTAGACTATAGACTAGACTAGACTATAGACTAGACTAGACTATAGACTAGACTATAGACTAGACTATAGACTAGACTATAGACTAGACTATAGACTAGACTATAGACTAGACTATAGACTAGACTATAGACTAGACTATAGACTAGACTATAGACTAGACTATAGACTAGACTATAGACTAGACTATAGACTAGACTATAGACTAGACTATAGAAGCTATAGACTAGACTATAGACTAGACTATAGACTAGACTATAGACTAGACTATAGACTAGACTATAGACTAGACTATAGACTAGACTATAGACTAGACTATAGACTAGACTATAGACTAGACTATAGACTAGACTATAGACTAGACTATAGACTAGACTATAGACTAGACTATAGACTAGACTATAGACTAGACTATAGACTAGACTATAGACTAGACTATAGACTAGACTATAGACTAGACTATAGACTAGACTATAGACTAGACTATAGACTAGACTATAGACTAGACTATAGACTAGACTATAGACTAGACTATAGACTAGACTATAGACTAACTATAGACTAGACTAGACTAGACTATAGACTAGACTATAGACTAGACTATAGACTAGACATAGATAGACTAGACTATAGACTAGACTATAGACTAGACTATAGACTAGACTATAGACTAGCTATAGACTAGACTAGACATAGACTAGACTATAGACTAGACTATAGACTGGACTATAGACTAGACTATAGACTAGACTATTGACTAGACGATAGACTAGACTAGACTAAACTAAACTAAACTAAACTAAACTAAACTAACTAACTAAACTAAACTAAACTAAACTAACTAAACTAAACTAAACTAACTAAACTAAACTAAACTAAACTAAACTAACTAAACTAAACTAAACTAACTAAACTAAACTAAACTAAACTAAACTAAACTAAACTAAACTAAACTAAACCTAACTAAACTAAACTAAACTAACTAAACTAAACTAAACTAAACTAAACTAAACTAAACTAAACTAAACTAAACTAACAACTAAACTAAACTAAACTAAACTAAACTAACTAAACTAACTAAACTAAACTAAACTAAACTAAACTAAACTAAACTAAACTAAACTAAACTAAACTAAACTAAACTAAA